GAAAAGTCGATTCAGTCGTAACAACGTGAGTGAGGAAATTCGAGTAGTTTTGACCCAGAAAGCGAAATATGAATATCAAACACGTAGGTTCAAGATTATGCCAAAATTTCATGTTTTCCGTCCCCTTTTTGCTCATATCTCGGAGGCAAAATGAGCAAAAACGCTCATTTGTACATCATTCTAGGCAGAAGTAAATGGCCTTTTTAGAAAGTGAACCATGGATGGGAAATTGTTGGCAGTTTTCTCAAAAAATGCTTGAATTCAAGAAGTTTTAGATTTGCGTGGGTTTTTTTTTTGAGTTGCAAAATCCACTTGAACATGACGCTGCTTTTTTCGAAGTTTCTCAAGAACCATTCGGGCCACAGAATTCGTTTTGGCATTGTTGGATAGAGAATTGAAAAGTCGATTCAGTCGTAACAACGTGAGTGAGGAAATTCGAGTAGTTTTGATCCAGAAAGCGAAATTTGAATATCAGACACTTCGGTGCAAGATTATGCCAAAGTTCCATGTTTTCCGGCCCGTTTTTGCTCATATCTCGGAGGCAAAATGAGCAAGAAGTTTTTTTTCTTCATCACTGCCCAGACCAAATTCCCAAGAAAAATCACACATTCAGACGCTTTGAGAGGCGCAAACCCCCATTAAGATTTTCACTTTCTTTTGCGAGATTTATTTGAGCAAAACGACATGAAAACGTGCCAAATCCACACGAACTTAAGTTAAGTTTGGCCCAAGAGACGCGGTTTTTCCACAAGTACTTCAGGACATCTCATTTGCATTTTCCCCATCATTTCACTCACTAAATACTGATACTGACCAAAGCCTTTTTCCAGGTGTGGAACCCTTCCAAGTGAACGTGATCTCCGAAACGATCCTCAAACGCCTCCTGAAGCAAGACATTGTGTGCCACATCAAGAAGAACAAAGAATGGAGAAATGACCCAGTGACTGTTATCTATAGCCAAGGCAAAGCCGTCGACTACTTCGTCATTATTCTGGAAGGACGTGTGGAAGTGACTGTGGGAAAAGAGAATTTGGTGTTCGAAGGCGGTCCGTTTACCTACTTTGGTACACAGTCACTGGTGCAGACTGTTGGCATAGGTAAGGCGAAAAGCCGCGTAAAACTTTTCTAAAATTAATATTTTCCCATCAGAATCGCCGGCTGCTCCAGCTGGAATGGGAAGTCTGGAGTCCCTGAACATCGATTCCATGCTCCGACACACCTTCATCCCAGACTACACAGTGCGAGCGTCCACTGAAGTGATGTACTTAAGAATAAAACGAAGCCTTTATTTGGCCGCGAAACGCGCCACTCTTATGGAAAAGTCCAAGAGGGACAAGAACCAAACCAGTGCGCAACTGGATGAGGAGATTGATAAGGTATGGGTGCGGACATCGGCCCCTTTTCCTATCCTCCAGCCCCGATCCTTTTCAGGTCCTCACTGACATTGCAACCGTCGATGATGTGCTTGAAGAACTAATATCTAATGTTTCATTGCTATAGGTTGATTGTTCGATGCCTTCTAGGCAACTAAAGCTAATTGGCGGTTTGTTTCAGCTCCTCGACGCCACTGGAGATGACGATATTAGTTCAGGGAGAATAACTCCTCGGCGGAAATCATCGCGCAATCTTCAGAACAAGAGCCAGCAGGAGCTAATCAACCAGTTTGAGGTGAGGAAACTTTTGCACAAAAAAATCAGCATTTATATACTAAAACACGAGCTTTCCAGAGCCCGAAAAGTCCTTCGCATCTGAGCAACGCGAGCCCTCCAAACCGATTGAGCGTTAAAGGAGGCGATGTGAATGGCTCAGTTAAGGGCAGTCCGGTTGATGAGGACAACATGGATACAAGAGGTGAAGAAACGTCCCTCTTGCCCAAGAAATCGTAACGCAATGAGCGGGTCCTCTCTAATGATTTGGACCTTCCCACTCGTACTTAAGAGAAATGAAGCAGTGCAATGCTCTATGACTGGGGGGTATTTTTTAGTCTTCCGTCTTTATGTTTCTCCTTCAGAATTCAACCTTTTTTTCAATGTCCCACGTTCCTAGAGCAGACGCACGCAAGAAAGGAAATTATTTTAAATAGTGAATATTAAATGTTATACGTATTTTAGGCATGTTACAACTTTGATATGTTGCACTCTAGTAATCAAGTGGTAAGTGTTGAATGTTCCGATATGCAACAGTTACTTAAATTCGCCAGAAGCTTAGGCACTGGGGCGTAATAATTAAAGTTAAGAGCAATAACGGTTCCAAACCTTACCTATTTCTTCTTAGAGTTAAACGCGGTTTTCCACGCAGTCGTTTCTTGGTTCTGAGTCTTTAACGATAAGCAACCAAAACGAATTTTTGAGCCTGTTTTAAATTGAGATGCGAAATACGCAATTGAATATTTTTACTACAGTGATTATCTAGTATTGGAAATTGTACTAAGAATCCAGCTCCAGTACTTTGAATAGACAAGGTATTTAGTGCGCACTTTCCTTGCATTATATTACATGTATACTGATTGATTTTTTGAAGTTGCTGCTTCAAACCCACTTTATATTGTATGTTTATCATTTTTAGCCCAGAAAGTTGCTACTTGCAATCAAGTTTCTGAATTTTATCTGCCATTATATAAACCTTTGTTGATCATACTAATCATGAGTTTTCTTAGGCAGTAGCTGTAAAGCCAAATAAGCTTGTTGATTCCAATATAGTCAATCCGGCTTAAAGTAGATAGAATGATTCTCGTTTCAATGCACGCATTCAAGCATAGAAGAGTAGCCAAAGCATTTAACCTGTAGCGTGTAGCGCCATTCTCAGCTACACGTCAGGATTTTGCTAATAAATCACGTTCAAGCAACATTTGAGAAAAGTACTTAACCCATTATGAGATGATGTTTAATGCGACCTTAATATTTAATACTAGTCTTCCTTGATCAAACAGTCAAATTCCACATTCCTTTTGAACTTGCATGTTAAATATAATAGAAGATTTTCATTTACTTTCGCTCTTTTATCGGCATGTTTAACAAGAATAGTTCAACTATGTACTTTTGTTTGATAGTGCCAAATCCGGTCAACAGCAGGCCTTCCGCAAATAAAGTACAAAAAGTCCCTATTCAATGTTGAAACAACAGTCTTAATCAAAACCTCTATTTCAATGCTTGACTTTGTAGGTAGAACATGTGTATTAAAAAATATATTTTGCCGTTTATTTTCTATTAATGTTGTTTACTGATAAGGACGATTTTTTATAAACCTGTTTATTTATAAGTGTTGAATGTTTGGCATATGTAACAAGATATTTCAGACATGGTGGTGCTTCTTTATTTTCTTGTTATGGTATTAAAGATTGGTAATTGATGTCATGTTTGATTTGCTTTTGGTAACAGGAAAAATCAAGAACCAAACCACCCTGCTATGTAGAATGACTTTCACCCGATGCAAAATTCCTGTCAGTTCTAACTGATGAAAACCCTCTTTGTTATACTGGTTTTTACACACGTTTTTTCCGGGATTTTACCATCACTTTTGCCATTTGGGAAACTCAGCACGCGCTTGAGAAAGCCGACGGAATCCAACGATTCTGAGGGCAGCAGATTTTCCTCAAATCAACCCTTGCTCAGTGAAACCTCCCTGAATCAGGCAGAGTGCAAAGAAAACTGTGGCTGTTTGCCATGCAATCTGACTTTACCCAAGCCAAAGAAAGTGATAAATCCTTACAAGAAGCAACTCAGCAATAGAGTGGCGCCGAGGGCTTTTGGGAGCTTCTGCATCAAATGCGCCGCATGTCTGGCAGTAGCCAATGAGGTACAAACTGTTATAGAGAAGGTTAGTCAAGAATGTGAAACCGACATGAACAAAAAGAAAATAGTGGAAGAACAAACCCTGGAGAGCATCACGAGGCTTTGCCAAACGGGATTCAGAAAGCAGGTATTAACAGGGGCAACATCATAAAACTTTTAGCGGCATTTTCAGCTTCAACTTGCGGGCGTTTGAGCATCATGGAATATTGACTGACAACTTCGAATGCACTCAACATCCAGGCACCGTTATCGAAGAAAATTGGACCAAAAGGTTTTGCGCGAAACTAGTAAGAATTTGCCTTACTTTGATTGGTTCCAGGCTGCGGGAAATGTGCAACTTGTACATATCAAGGGTTGATGTCACGCTCCTCACCTCCAATACGCTGGACTCCATTGGGAATCTCACCGACATGTTTTGCAGGTGATTATTGAACGTTTCATAGAACCTGGGATTGATTGGGGATTTCCAGAGGGAGCGGCGTGTTTCGAGATTGCTCCAACATAAAAACCCATCGGAACATCAGCCTGCCTCACTGCAAGAATTGCGGACATTGAGCTTTCGACACTGCTGAATCAATTACCTGAAATAGAAAATTTGGCAGCTTTGTTCTTGATTATCCACCCAAGTTCGGCATGAAACTTTGACTTACGTATTGTTCAATAGCGACTTACAAATCTAAATTAGAATGTATACCGTTAAAGCTATTGGCCTTTCCAGGGCGATTCCTGACATCCGCCAAATACTACAGATATTCCAACGTCTACAATAACTACGATAGTTTAGGTATAAAAGTTTAACTTTAAATGGAAAATAATATAGCGACTGCTAGGGTAAGACAATTATTCATTCGTAATACTTCACATAGACCGGAACAATTGACATGGAATTCGCGCAGATGATTTCTAAGTAACATCCTGGCATTTTATAAATTTGGACAGTCAGGTTTTGAATTCTTAATCTTAGCTTACCGCTGTCTTGGGCAAACCCACCAGGTTTAACCTAACAAGTTTTTTATTACTAAATTACAACTCTTGATGGCTCATTGCCCTAGCTTGGGCCTTGACCCGCTTTTCATACTCCAGTCGGTTTTGGCAGTAAATTGTGTATGCTTCAGCTTGGGCAGGATCCTTGACATTGGGTTCGTTAAGCAGATCTTGAATACCTATTCAACATCATTTATTTCACCTGCTTCAAGCCGCAGCCCCTCTGCTACTCACCTAATAGGATTTGTTTAATGGTGATGGCTGGGCGCCAGTCCTTTTCTTCGTCGAGCAGCGACAAACAGACGGTGCCCGATGGATAGACGTTCGGGTGAAATAGGGGTGGCTCGAATTTGCATTTCGGTGGACTGGTCGGATAATCTTCCTTGAACAACATTCTCAGTTTGTAATGGCCCTCTTCCCATGGGGTTCCCTTTTTTCCGGGAATCGAGCATTCCCAGTTCATAAGATTCAGGGATCCATCGGCGTTTTTTGACGGCCTGGCTACGAATCCGAAGGGGTGATCTTTGCGCCAAGCTTTTCTCTCCTCTGCCAACCGAGTAGCCGCGATTCCCGACATGCTTCACACTAAAATTTAACAAAATTGCTCTATTTAATCCAATTTTGCAAACCCACTAGCCGGTATGAAGACAAAGAAAATAGCAGTAAAAATTATATTTCGATAATTTCAGCTCGCAGGGAAAATGAGGCAATTGACTGGCAATCTGCCGTAAAAACATGTACTGAATGCAATCGTTAGTAACTATAAAAAGCGCGGCACAATCCAAGCCCTTTTCTGAGCAAATTTCCTCATCCCTGCTGATAGCTCATGCGGAGCTCAACTCAGCAGCCTCACGACTGTCTCCCCTGCCTTGCTTCATCAAAAGGGGCTCCCTGGAAAAATTCCTCACTTTCCGACCCCATAAACCTGAAGCCCTGGCAGGTCAATGACACTGGTTTAATAGAGTAGAGGTAGAACCTTGTAAATCAACAACAAAGGTGAGTAACCAACAATATCACATCACGTCAAAAAGCACATGAATGATGGACGGCAAAGAAAATATTGCAAGTGAAAGGGCTGGAGGTGGTGTGGAGCTCCACAGAGCCGCTCCAGACAGGAGCAAGCTGGCATCAATGAAGTTTTCCATCCAGACCCCAAATAGTCCAGAAACAGCTTGTGAGGACGACAAAGCCGACAGCCTTAGCGACGAGCAGTTTTTCTCAGCTCAGAGCAGCCTTTCGTCGAGTGTGAGCGATGAGAAGAGTTTCAACAGTGCGATACTCTGCAGTGAGGCGCAAACTGTGAATATTCAAGAAAACAGCAGAAGCAAATCTTTGTGAGCCGAATAAGAAGACGCCATGGGGACCACAATGCCTGCACACTATCCAAGGAGTTTGCCCTGAAGTGGTCCGTTTAAGGGTCTGTTTAATTGAACACTCGGTTAGGGAATAAAGATAGTGCGCATTTCCTTACATTCAAAACGATTATTTCGGTTTTTACCTTTGAATCTGTTGTTGAAAATCTGCAACTTTCACCACTATCTCCGCTGTCAGCGTTTCCTTGGCCCTCCAGTTACTGAATTTTGCCCAGTATTGCCAAATCTAGGCAAATGTTTTCCTGAGCTTCAAAATGAATTAAACATGGGACTAATGACAGCTGCAGTTACCTAAATTAAATTATTAAAGTGAATTGGTTGAGTGGGTTGATAAAGGTATTAAGAGCAGTGATTTTCTTCCTCGGTAAGTGCGCGTTGCAAGCTGCTGGCAGCAATAGTAGGTGTTTGGGTAACAGGGAAAATTTGTTAACAGCGACAACATTGATACAGACATACAACGACAATTATGCAACCGGAGGTACTTCCCAGGAAAGTATGCAGAGTTTAAAAGATTTGGCAACTCGTTGGAGGTATTTCAAGCAACTGAGAAAAACCAGAATTACTGAAATAAATTTTATTTTTCAATGAAAATCCAGTAAATAAACGCAAAAAAATTGTTGAAAAAAAACCCACATTTGAAAAAAATGTAGTTGCACAATAAGGATAAATAGTTTTGAAATTGTTTTTCTAATCTAAAGTTCTGTCCTTTCGACGGTTCCAGCTCGTGGATGATGCTTTCCCGGATACACTTTGCTTTCTATTGTAACACTTTCGCACTGTTCTTGCTCAATGAGATATTCCTTGGCGCTCCACGCTTGTTCCCCATCTTTGAACAGGAATATCGCCCGATTATCGTCGACCAAATATCTGGAACATTAAGCCGCAGTAAATACCCGATGTAAACAAAAGTTCCATAGCATACAAACCTTTCAGCTTGTATGTGACTGTTCCATAAACTAGTTTGCCACAATTTAGTAATTTCTTCAGTCTCATCTTTGGATGGATGTCCGGCCACTTGGACAAATGTCATCAGCGTGCGACCTTTCTTCGTCATCTTCAGTATTTCTTCGGGATTATCCTTGGTCAGTTTACTCATATCGATTTTGGGCATGGGCCTCAAATGCTCTGGAAGTTCATCTGGCTCCAAAGGCTCCTCATCCTCCTGTTGAAGTAAATGCCGTTAATTTGTTAGAGAGGGTTGCTGAGTTCAATTGCCATATCCAGAAAATCCTGGTAGTGAACTCAGGAGCTCTGGAAACCCACCTCCCATTGATCCAGTAACCGTTCCATATCGGCATCAGTAAAGTCTCTGATGTCCTTTTTGGCCCATTCTGGCTTTTCCTCGGGCTTCTTGCAATGCACCAAAACTGCCACTAGCATTAGCACGGTCAGCAAATGCAGTTTTTCCATTATTTCCCAGTTGAGGAAGTACGAATGTTGTTTATTTATTTGACAAACGCTCAATCTTTAACCTAACCTAACTAAAGTGCGGACGTTCTTCTCCATTCTTCTCATTCTCTAGCCGATAGAGAAGTTTTGTTTATGCTGGTAACCTTAAATTATTGCGCAATAGTGGTGTTTTTGTGTCAGTTAGTTATTCAAAATCCGAAAAGTGTTTTTAAATGTAGTGTAAACGGCAGAATTTAGCGGCTAAAGGTAGGAATTCATACAAGTGTTTTCTAAAAAGGCTTTCTCAGAAAAAAGTTGGCGAAAAGATGTTTGAAGCTTTTGCTCTTAGGCGCCCCTTGGGGAAGGAACTCTGGCGGTTTTTGATTTTAAATTGGAAAGCATGCATATTTCTAGGAAAAATGCCCGGCTTTTCCTTAAATGGAAACATACTGGAGAAATTCAATTCACGCTTCTACAATTACACGTAACTTTCGTGGTATTGTGACAAATTTCAAAGCATTCTTTAAAGGGCTCCTCACCTCAGAACGACTTGAGAATTGAACGTTTTGTAGATAGATTATCTATTTCTTTATCAAGCATGTGGCCGGTCGTTCTCTCTCAGCCCAGTCACTGCAGTGACTGAATTTCAAACTTAGCTTCAAGAATATGTAGGTACATAAACTAGTAAGAGGCGGGTTCCTTCCACCACCCTCATTTATTGTGAACAAGTAAAAAATCAGTCAACATAACAAAAAAACGATATTCTCTACCGATGGACATTCACGAGGCAGGCACAGTGCTTCTATTGCTATAGTCCAACGTGCTCTCAGCCGGAGCACTGGGCTTGATGTTTTGGTAGTAGTAGCCCTTTTTGTCGATAGTTTGCCTGTTTGTGGTTTGCGCCGCTTTTCTGCGAAGCTCCAAAAATGTGAGCGCCGATATGCCCAGAATACTGAGCAGGATTATCAAACTGACCAGCACTATTCTGGCAGTGAATTCGCCCAGGAAAATTTTCGATAATACGCCCGCGGTGACTATTGCCACAATTAGGAGTGCCGTTATGACGACAACCCAAAGACTCGGTCTGTCTGAAAGAGGACTTGTCCGTTACAAACTGCACCTGGCAATCATTCGCTGGACTCACCTAAATAAGTTCTAGTCGTCATGTTTCCGAAACCAGTAGCAAATTTATGAATAACAGCGGCACATAGTTTTGATTGAAATTGATAACCCGAAAATGCGCTTGTATCTAAAAATACGCCTTCGTTCAACCTGATAAATCATATCTTACTAATGAGAGCTAGATAAGGGGAAAATTATAATGGCTGTGTGAACAATCATTTGCCAATATTTGATAAGGATTAGATTGTAACCGTTAACCCTAAATGTTGTCTAAATGCACGCGGCTTTTACAACGCATTTATCACTCAACTGGTCTAGTTCGCGATAACTCTACGCTAATAGTATACATAATTAATCAACCTTGGATGATGCGCGACCACGTTGTCTAACAAGCAGTTTACCTAAACTCCCTACCTATTTTAGAACTTATTGGGTTACACAGGTGCACAGATATTCCATAATTACTTTAATAATACACAGCAACAACAAAGATTATTTCTTCACAATATTCAAGTCAACATCACAATATGTTCCATCAAAGTCCCGCTGCTTTCCCCAATGATATATTAACATAATAATCAAATGTAAAACATCTGAAATTTAAAAGAAAACTATAGCAAACAGCCCTGTGAACCCACAAGTACTGATCTTAGCTTCCATATGACCAGTCGTCCTCTGACACGTTTCCTTGTTCAGTGTTCCTGGCCAACATGTAATTATCCATATCAATCGATCGGCAATTGTTGATGGAATATCGCAGCTTTTCAGCCATGATTTTTTGCCCGGAATAGGGCGGCAGTCTCAATTGGAAGAAGCAAGTTTGTGCAGTCGGAAGACCGTTAAGGGCCTTGTCCACTTTCATCACCTAAAGTAACAAACAAACTGTTGCTCCCGTTTGCTTCCCAACTTTTCAGACTGATGTTACCTGAAACCTTTGTGATAAATCGGCCAAGTTGGCCGGTAAGCGTGATCTACCCGAAACGAATCTCATGAACAGGACTCTTTCGTTGTCGGTAAAACTCTCCAAAATATTCCACAGCCATTTTACCAGTTGACTATTTTCGTCTAGTTCTCTATATCTGCAACCAAATCCCAAAGTCAGGCCTTTGTAACAGTTGCGTGCTGATTTGAACTTGCCTAACTATTTTTTTCAAGTCACTGATTGAAATATGGGGCATCCCGCATATCAGCTCCTCTAAGTGTTCAGCGGTCATCAAAGAGAGAAGCGGCACCGGAATAATACCCGACATTCCCTCCCTAATGGCAGCCACCTGCAAAATACCCAGTTTAACCCCAGAATCTCAGTCTAAATGCGATGAAATGCACTCACCTGCAAGTCAAACTCTTGCAACCTAAACCTAATCACTTGCTCATAATATTGAGCACGGTTCTCGAAAGTAAGCGGTAAGTTCTTGCCTCCGTGCGTGACTGGAACCAGCTAAAAAACCGCTGGTCAAAGGTCCGTATTGGTAAGCCACGGCGCTTACCTTTCCAGTGCAGCTGTATCCTTCGAAAGTCTCCTGAGGAATCGCCTCGTGGAAACGTTCGGATGTGATCCCCGACTTATCAATATCCCTAATGCTGCGCAACGTTTGAACATACATGGCATCGGTATCTTTCAAGTCCTCTACGCAGACTGGCTCGCCAACCAGCAATTTCCAGATGAGCGGCGCTAAAGGAATGGCAAGCGGCTTTCTGGTTCGAATAGCCACTGCGAATAGGATTCCTGAAAACAACGGTTAAATAGTCATTCGTGTGAAGCCCGCAGGTCTTACCTATAAATTTAAACCAAGACAAATGTTGCGCCGATGAGAAATCGGGGTTTAATAGGTATTTGTCCCTGTTGAATCCCTCCTCGTTCAAGGCGTTAGGGGTGGGCACCAGCAGTGAAACAGTGCTGGTTATTTCTTGGCACATTTCGGTCATCGTGTCGTCAAAAACGCCTCCAGCATCGTCCGCGCCTTCTCCAACCTGTTGGATTCAAAAGTGCCCATTTACAACCTGATGGGCGTTTGCCGCGATTCGCTTACCAGTTTAACTTTCCAAGCCCTTGCTGGCAGTCGGAATTCCTGCGGTCTGTTGTTTACGACTTGTTTAGCGATTTGTATGAATATTGGCTTGGGCTTTCGACCTAGAAATGTATGCATTTGAAATCGAATTTAAGCAGCCAGCTGTAGCCAATCTGCTACCTTCTTGGGACATCCTTCTCACTACAATTGGAGGGCCATAATTTTTACCCTGTACCATTGTTTTCCCGATACAGCGCACAAAAGGCAATGTGTACACTTTGGGAGCGAGTAGTCGGCGCAATTTGGGCGAAATCAGCCCCTCCAGTGGCGGCACATTGAATTCGGCTTGTTGTGCACTCAACGGCATCATTGTCCAACAGGAGTACAGTTTATCGGAGAAATTGTGCAGGAATTTCAGTCTGGAATAATTTCGGAACCGTCAATCGTTCCCGGCTAAAGCTCAGACAAAATTACTACCTGTTTTGAATAGCCTTGATAGATACGGCCTTTAGATGGTCAAATTGCGCCGGAATTTCTTTGGGCAGGCCGAATGTTAGGAGCTGAACCTCTCCAGGCACTCGTTGTGGTAGTGGAGGTGCAGTGTAAGCGGCACTGTGTGTTCTACCTATAAATTATTTAAAAATAAATAGGAACAAACTTCATCCGACGCTCACCGACCTGTGGAAATTTGCTTGATGTTCTTATTGAGAAGATCTTTGATAATTTCAGGCTCGCGTATCATGGAATCGTGTGGATGGCCGCATTGGCCCTCTGTGTTCATCCCCCATCCGAACACCTGCAAATTACCATTCAAATATCACTGTTGCAGCTTGAAAGCTGGTTTTTGCCGCTAAGACCGTTAAACATATTTTGCCCAATAGGTGTGTACCTTTCCGCATTTGCTCAGTATAAGCATGTGTTCCGTTCCAATTGCAAAATCCTCTATGAAATATTCAGTCAAAGAGTTCAGCTGGCGCGGTACAAAAGGGCGGTCTTTGGTCATGCCCTGCCATGGCACCTTAGATAAATTTAATTGTCGTAAAATTATATGCAAATTGTATTATATTATATGTGTGTATGTGAAGTATGTTGCTCTTATTAGGCCACTTCGTGAATTTGCATACCCGGTCAATGCCGCAAATAAATAATTTTCCAGTTTTCGTGAGGAACACTGTTACATTCGTGCCGCAGCCCACTTTTTTCACTCCCATGCCGCACATTGTTGTTACTCGTTGCGGGATTGATTTGGTCGTTGTGTGTCCTAATCCTGTGAAAGTTCGTCAATTAGTTCTTTGTTGTTCGCCAGTTTAGTTCGAAATACCCAATTTTCCGTAGTCGCCCTCGCCAAAGGTCCAAACATTCATACCGTCCGCTGATATGCAGGCCGTGTGATTAAGGCCGCAGGCTACTTGTCCGATTCTATGACCTTTACATGTACAAAAGTAAGTAAAGTGGGAAACATTAAAAACATTA